CTTCACACATCGTACTGCAACCTTATAGAATTCCACACTTGCGGAGGTAGTGTTGTGTAAGACTATAACAGAGTTTAAAAGAGAACTGGATAAATTCATGGTGGTTAAGTCCATTAATGGCTATTAGCCAGGACGGGTAAGGAATGGTGTCCCTAGCCTCTGTCTGTCAGAGGGTGGAGAGGGATGGCAGGAGAGAGATCACTTGATCATTGCCTGTTAGGTTCACTCCCTCTGGGGCACCTGGCATTGGCCACTGTCGGTAGACAGGATACTGGGCTAGATGGACTTTGGTTTGACCCGGTACGGCCTTTCTTATGTTCTTATGTTCTTATGTTATATCGTCCCTGTTTTTATAACCCTTGTTTGTATTGTAAAATTTCTACTCTATGCTGATGGTAATGGTTCAAAATTCAAAAAGGTTGCTGTGTATATTCTTGCCTAAATGTACACCCTAAAGCATTTAATTTTATGGTTAATCTAATTATTAAGTATTGGTATGCAAAAATATTACTTTGTTCAAAATACCTTATTTTCTCTAGACAAATATTTAGACCAATACAAAAGCCATTTCCTTTTCTTGGTATATCTGAAACTTATTTGTTGAACTAAAAAAAATACTCTGATTGCATTCCTATACTCAGATTGCATTACAAAGGGTGAATGAATCTAGAGGCAACTGGGGAGCATCTACAGAGGCAAACTTTTTTTGTTTTTTAGTTGCCATTTATTGGGGTGTTTAAAATGAAACACTTTCTATAGAATGTCCAATATCAATTTGTAATAGTAAAAAAATATATATAAAAAGTGATATGATTGAGTCAATGAGTTAAAGCAGGTACTCAGTTGGAGGCTATTAACAGGAACACACCATTTCTAAACATTGATACAACAACCAACTCTCGCTTGATCGTTCATAATTAAACAGAATACAGCTTAGCAGCAGGAAGCTTTTGCTTTATAGAATTGCAGTTTCATATCTAGATCACACCTACCAGGCAACACCATGTTAAGGCAGCAAATGCTGTGAAATTCCCATCAGCATTTCCTCTGACGTCTTTCATTGGGAGAGCAGGATACACCACCCTCTCCTTTCTGGCCATACATATGGAGGCTCTGTGCTGCTACAGAATCTCTAGCCCTGCTACTTGGTAGCACAGCTGAGGCCTCCCTTAAAGGAGGGGATTCCCCATGACAGAGTCAGGTGCGTGAGTGAATTTTTAAGTATAACCTATAGGTCCCCTCCTCAGGACCTTCTCTTGACCTACCCATTTCTTTGCTTGTTCAACCCACAGCTGGATTCCTTCTAATCTGCACAGATCTCCAGACACACAGATAGCTCTTTATGCGGTCCAGAAGATGCCTTGGGAGCTGTTGTGGCTCTTTTCTGTATAGTGAGGGAGGGATCCACACATGGCCAGAGCCCTATGTATGGATCAAAAGACATGAGCTAGTCCTCTGTTAGGGAATCTCAAATGAGATCCATTTCTCACTCCAATCCCTAGAAGGCTGATAGTTGTTCCTGTGCTCAGCATTGTACTAACAGGGGAAGATAGAGTCCTGCTCCAAGGAACTTACAATCTAACTCAAACCCTGACAGTACAATAGAGACACATCTGATAGTCAACAAAGGTCCAAAATTCAGGTAAGGTTCTTTGCTTATTACTTATTAGTAGGAGAACACTGAATCATCTCCCATAAGTTGTACAATTCTGTTGAAGACAATTAGTTCATTTCTGGTTATGGTTGTACGGGGGGGAGGGAAGATTAGAAAGGTTGGTGCCTAGCAAAGCGGGTATAATATATTTTGCTACTCTGAAATATTGATGAAAGGGACAGTTAGTGCACTCTGATCTAGTAACACTTCTCACTGACTCACTGTATTTTCCAGCTGTGGACGTGTAGACAGTTCCTTTGTAAAATATGTGATCTGGAAACTATACATTGTGGAGCTGCAGATGTGGCTTTCCAATGAAGTCACCCCAAGTTGATAGTGCTCAGCACTTTTCAGGATGGGACCTAAAGATTGTAACCTAGTTTCTTATAAACTTCATTTAAGCACACTCCTTCCATCAACTCTGAAAATCTCCTTTGCACCTGAAATTTCTCATGCAGACTCTATTCAATGGAGACATTTTTTAAGTTTCACTGGCATTGAATTAGGTATTTTGAAAAACATATTTTTCACTTGTGGAATGTAGTGGCTTCTTATAAAATTGTCTTTAAATGGTAATTGTTTACATGTTCAAGGGGAACGAATGCAGTGGACTATTTTTCAATAAAAATGGGTGAATACATTTGGACCTATTTTCTCCGGAAATCCTGAGTCTCTGAGGTCTCTTCAGATATAAACTCACTGACTGGGGTTTCAGAATTTACAAGCTCCACAGACAGCCCTGGAGGACCTTACAAGCACTGTAAACCAAATAACCTGAAGGCTGCTTTAACTTACATTAGTACAGAAGCTCCAGAATCAGGGAGTGTAACAAGCTCCCTGATGTCACCCCATTCTTGCACCAAATGTATTTCAGTGCAGGAAAGAATCTGGCTCTCAGTTTTTCCACTGAACTTCTAAAATGAAGTGTAGTTTCATGGATTTTTCTGAACTCTTACAACTTTAGTCACAATAGTGAATGTATCAACAAATATTCATACTATCTATACATTAAATATCTAATAAATGTTTTCTAGGTAATCTTGGGAGACCAGTGGTTGACGACAATGTTGTACGCACAGTAATTGAATTTTTGACTTACTTGCATCTTAAAGGTTAGTAAAGCTCTCAATCATTTAAAAGTACAGTTTTATTTCAGTCACTGAGGATCTGATTCTGTAATCCTTACTTGGACAAAACTCTTGAATAAGAGCTGCAGGACTGGGATTGAATATATAATTGTAGATTCATATTTAAATTGTGCAACTTTGTTGAGCATCACTGGAGAATGGGCTTGATTATGTTTGACATAACTCCTAGAACATAATGTGCTGAAACAATATCGCTGAATATCCATATTAACAAATAATGGATTGAAATCTGGAAGAAACTACTAAGAGCCTGCTCCCACAAAACACTTATGGAGATGCTTAAAATTCAACATACAAGTAGTGTCACAGAAGTGCATGACGTTAAGTATATGACTAAGTGGTTGCAGGATTGAGATGTTGACTGTAAGTTCCTTGGTGCAGGAACCATCTTTTCATTATACATGTGTACAGTGCCTAGCACAGAAGGGTCCTGATCCTGCTTGGAGCCTGTAGGTACTACCAAAATGACAACTGCCAAAACTGTTTGAACTATCTTTAATAGGGTCCAACATTTGTACTCTTACTTAAAAGACTGAATAAAAGGAGATGTTTCAAAGTTTATCATGATCAAGTTTTACATTTGTGTAAGACAGTGACAAAGAAAATAAAATTTCCCTCCATTTGGACACTGTGGTGAAGTCATATCCCTGAAATTGTGACATCACTCACCTGTGTGGCAACAGAGTTTAAACAGAGGCAAAACTCCCTGTGAAATACTGGAGAACTGTCTATATAGGACCTGTAGGACTGAGATCTCTAAGGATGCCTAATTAAGGATTATGACTTTATTATAGCATCAAGCAAACAGAAAACCTGAGTGGTTACTAGACCTCTATTATAATTTTGAAGGTCTTCATGTGTTTTTCAGAAAATTTCAGGCAAAGTAAATTAATTTATTTAAACATACCTTTTTCAAATTTTCAGCCAATATAGAATTGCTCCTTTCAACTCTGCTACATTCAAAATATTTAGAAAGTGATTTGCATTAGGAGGGAAAAAAAATAACACAATACATGCCTTTAATCTTCCTAATTGCAAGCATTCTGAATCTTTCATTCAAAAGTCACCAATTCTGTCACATGCCTTCTCTATAAATCCCTACCTTTGAATATAATGAATTATAGATGCTTTCATAGCAATGAATTTATTGTTAGATAAAATTGCAGGTGCTGTGTTTTTATTTTAATTAATGCATTGGAATGAGACATTTGTGTTTTATTAATTTCACTTTACTGTGAATATCTTTTCAAGTTTGTTAACTTCAAGATTATATGAATTTTATAAATTAAACTCTGGATAGTTTTGGCATCATTTTCTAAAATGATCTGTCTTGGTTCAGAAAAATCCTCTGCTAAGACTACTGTAAATACTAAAATACGACCAGTGTTAACTAAACTACATTGCACAGTCTGTATTTGAGACTGTATTTGTTTGAACGGTATAGTTAAGGATCTTTGAGCAATACTGTCATTTCCAGGGATTGAGAATACTTCAACTGTCCAGCCTCAGTCCAAAAGCAAACCTAAGATTTTGTGCCATTCTCAAGCATTTTTCAAAAACAGCACATCCTGGCTTACCTGAATCTCATGGACCATGTTGAATAAGTTAATACAATCAAAGCTTGAAAATACCTTCAGTTTCCCCAAAATCTCTAAGACGTCGCGGTAGGACATGACCATGTTTGGGATAACAGAGTTTTCCCGATAACCCTGGTTTTGCTGTATAATAAAAACATTAATGTGGATTAACTACACAAAAAAACTCCTTTTTGAAAAACAATTGACATTTTTACAGAAATGTCTGATATGCAAAACTGGGGCCCAAATCTGCTATCCTCATTTTGAGAAGTAACTTTCAGAGGGTAGCCCATTAAAATCAATGGATCTGTTTGGAAGGTGAGTCTCTGGTCTCCGGAGGCTTAGTAGTAATTATGCAGCTGTTCTGTGCTCTGGGCTGGGAGAGGGTGGTTCCACTTCTCTTCCCAATTCCTGCAGAGCCTGTTTACTTAGTCTCTGTGGGGAATACGCGTATTTTTCCATTCAACATTTTTACTCATCTGATAGAGTACATGGATCTAAAATAACATTTTCAAACATTCATACAATGCTCTAAAAATCTTTATTCTCCCAATCTTTCAGTGCTGTTTCTCCCTGTTAACTGAACAATGAGCATCTGTCCAAATCCATATTTACAGGGTAGTCACTTGAAATAACTATTGTTTGAGGACCCTACTTACCCATACATGGGCTATTCCCAAGTGAGGGAGTGGAAAGTCAGTATTGGTAAATCCACCCACAAGTTGGAAACAGCAGTCACCGCATGAACAGCTTGAAAGCATAAATGGCTCAGGGAGGGTGTCTCTTGGGACATCCATGATCAGGGGTATTGATCCTGATCTGGTCACCCTACATAGGGTAGACATGACCCCAGTGTTGTCAATAAGACCACTCATATGCTTACTGCAGATGAGTTAGCGTTCCCTCCCATTCAGAGGAGGATTATTGGGCCTCAGTCTCTAAGTGCTAAAAGAAAGTCCAAGGAGATCCTGATTTGATATTGGTCAGCTGGTGTTTCTATACCAGTGCAATAGAGACATTTCTGTCTCCCCTGTGTAAGCTATGTCCCAGTGTGGGGGTCAGAGCAGCCTCCTGAGCAGGAATGACTGGGCAGGGCTGGGGAACAGGCTGAGCCCTGACCTCCGCAAACTGAGCCAGCCTGGAGAGAGAAGTAATGTGCACCTAGTAAAGAGCTGATACCAATTACTTTCCCCATGGAGCAAGTGTCAACCAGGGGCTGAACTGTGACTTTTTGAGTAACAATTACCTGGTCTGCTCTTTGGACAGCACACTTACATGCTTCTCCTTACTGTTACCATCAACCTTGAGACTACACAAAAACCAAATCCACTGGATCGTGCACAATGGCTTTTCGGTGATGCAGAACTGGTACTCCAAAGCTACAAAACACAGAATGTTAGCGAGTGATGCTACATTTTTAGCTAACAATGGCTACCAGCGAGATCTTGACATGAACATGTACTCCAAATCAATATCTGATTTAAAAAAAATTCAGTCCAACAATAATGTAATATAAATGTTTTTTACACAGCTACTCAAATGTCAGTTTATTACACTAAATATATTGATTTATGCATTTTCTTTCTCAAAATAAACCATTTTATAGAAAAATGTTTTTAACAATAATGATTATTCAGATAATTCATATACTTCCATCTTAAAGAGAAGGGGCATATTTATAACAACTCCCTCACAAGTGATTTCTTGGAGGTCACTATCACAGTTGGCCTTTTAGGCCCCAATGCTGAAACTGGCTCGGTGCAGGGGTCTGCCCAGCCTGAGCCAGTTGCAGGATCAAACTC